TTGGGAAATAAATCCTTTAAAGTGGACACGGGTTTAGAAGGAGGTGAGTCAGGATCAGTGTCTCTGGGGAGGATATATCACACAGATCACATTCTAATGTACTCGGAGTCTTTGCTTTTATCTCTCGTTTATCAGCATCAGGTTTATTCAGCATCATCTTCATTCAAGAGGAGCCTGTCTACCTGCGGGAGCCCTGTCCCTTTGAACACATCCTCCCTGGGGAGCCCAGGAGGGCAGTCCTGGTGTGTTCACTCAGTGTGACGGTTAACGCTGACTGTCAACCTGACAGGAGCTAGACTCACCAAGGAGACATGCCTCTGGGCTTATGAGGGATTAACTTGATAAGAAGACCTACTCTAGCATACTACTCACTGGGCCGGCACTGTGAACGGAATAAAAAGGAGAACTCCAGCCCAGCAGCGGTCACCTCCCTGTTCCCTGTCTGTGGATGCCATGTCACCAACCACCTCAAGCTTCTGCTGCCGTGGTGTGCTGAACCTTGAGCTGGAACAAGCCCTTCCTTCCCCCAGTTGCTCCTGTCCGGGAATTTGATCACAGCGATGGAGGAGATGCTCAGTAACTGCTGGCTTTCCTTCGTCTGTCCCCTCACGCACCCCTTAACACCCACAGAATACTCCGTTAAGCGTTGCAGGCAGGAACAGTGGTTATGGGGGGGGAGAGTTAGACACCACACTGCCATGGTGAGAGACCACGCGGTGTCTGTGGTAGAGACGGAGTGCCGGGGACAGTGCCATGGTCGGGGGGGGGCACCAGCTTGAGTGCCCAGACTTACCTGTGGGTGTTTCTCAAGGCCATGGGAATGCCAGACACACAGTACCATTCATAAGATAAAAATACAAGCTAAAGAGTCCACATGCAATTAGTACACCATCTTTGGTCTGTTCAGATGTTTAATGAGTACATACAAAGGCAGAGATACACATTACGCGGAATCATTTACAACAAAATCAAATCGGAATACAACCGCCTAAAGGTATCACCATTAAATACAAACACAAGGTACAAACATCCCACTTCTACAGAGGGTGCAATGCCCATCAAATTCCAGTATGACTGCCACTCACTTAAGTAGCAGTGGATGCTTGTGACGGCCAAGGCAGCAGAAAGGCAGAGTTCGCCACCAGGGACCAATAACTGGCCAAGGTGAGGAATCTCCATAAAGCAATTCATACAAGAAATCTCAAAAGTGCGCACTTGGACACAGATGCTGGAGTGTCTATTACAGGCAGACTTTCAAAGGAGTCTCTGTGGAACTATCGCCAAGTGGGTGGGCGGCAGTGAGTGGTCTGTCCATCCCTAGTGGCTTACGGGAAAGTTCTCTTTGCTTCTGTCTGGACCCCTAGCGCTTAGCGCTTATTAGCAGATGGCAATGACACACACACACACACACACACACACACACACACACACACACACACACACTCTCTCTCTCTCTCTCTCTCTGACAATGGCTCTGCTGGAACCCTGGGAGTATCACATGGGCACTTCCACTCTGTCCTTCCTGTGACCTTTCATGTCACCTTTCCACAGGATGGCAAGTGTATCGGCAACCTTCGGATGCCAATGTTAACAGTGAAGAGTAAAGTAACTGGAGAATGGAGCTATGTTTAATACAAATCAGAATGCCATAGAAAGTATCAGGAGATGGACCTTCTGGCCAGTTTACAAGATCGATTACACCCAGTAGTACTTAGTGGTGGGAACAGTCTTAATCCCGTCCTGTCAAAATCAGAGGCAGAGCAGCCATCTGAATACTAAATGATGAACTGCCTGTCCAGGCGGGTTAAAAATGGAGATTTCATGTTCAATAAATAGATAACAGAAAATATAGGCAAAGCCACCAGTAAGGTGGCGTTAGCTTAGACCGTCCCTCCCCTTCTGGAAGAATGGAAGAGGAGCTGCTACCTTCTTGTGGCTCGTGTGTGTGTGTGTGTGTGTGTGTGTGTGTGTGTGTGTGTGTGTGTGTGTATGCTATCTGGGTGTGACAGTACATGATCAGCTTAGGTCCTCTGTGAGATGCTTGCTTGGAAAGGGAAGGAATCCTTCTATGATTGTGTTCTGAGAAGATGGCGGGCGCGTGGGCGGGCGCGTGGGCGGGTCTGGGGGCTGCTGGGCTTGGCAGTAGGTGAGGGGTAAGGGGGCCAGAGCCCTGAGGTGTCTTTGCTCTTTTCCTCAAAGCCACCTACCTCCTCATACCCTCACGAGGCCTGAGCATCCTAAGGCTGGGAAACCTGTTCCTTCGAGGCCGCAGCACGGCCTCCCCTCCTCCCCGGGACAGAAGAGAACGCTCTCTGTAAATGGACCTTTCACCGTGGATGGCAGAAGAATATGCCTTCTCAGGGCATTCTTCACGGGCTTGCTTTGAATGTCAGCCCGGCAAACACACAAAGGCTGGGTGTTGTCCCCGCATTCTGTGAGCCGGGGGTGGTGGCTCTGCATGGCACGGAGGCACCACGTGCCTGGGGAGGGAGGATGCGGGAGGCACCAGGACCAGATGCCCTTGTGCAGGGGAAGGGAGGGTGTCCGGAGTCTTCCAGACTCTTTCTGGAGACCTGGCTCCATACAGGCAGGCCACAGCTGCATCTCCAAGTGGCAGGCGGTGGTACCTCTGGTCCCACCCGAGCATCCTGCATGTGTGTTAGATGTCTGTCTTAGAATGACGACGAGGATGCCGGCTTCTGTCACAAGTGACAGCCAGCTAGCCTTAGGACTCTTCTTTGCAACTTTCTTAGGGCCCTTGGTAGCACAGGAAAACAAGCCCCCATCTATAAACTTCAAAATACAAATAGAAACAAACAGTCCAGGAGCTGCCCCTGGCTTCTAGGGTGACTGTGATTTATAGCCAGGCACAGAGTGAGCTAAATTTCCATCTCTGACATCAAAGAACCAAGAATCACAATCAAACAGGCTTGGACACCATGACCAGACCTCTGCTGTGTGTGCCTGGGCAGCGACCTTTCAGCAGAGGAAGGTGCCTCTGGCTACGCTTGGGACAAGCTACAGGAGGGAAGAGGGGAAGACCAACACAAACAAACTCTGTATGGAAATGCCATAACCCTAGTTTTGTATGTGAGTTTAAATAAAAACCTAATAAATAATAAGGAAATAAGGATCACATATGCAAACACCCAAGGGACTTTTTTTTTTAATGAAGGTTGTTCATTTTAAAAATCCTTCATATTCAAAATGCACAGCAATGGTGCAAAGAACTGACATCTCAAGTTAAAAAAGCCCAAATATTTAAAAATTATATATATGTATTAATCCTGTGAAAATGCTTCCTCTCCCCCAGGGTCCTTAATGATCTAAGAGACACGATTTGCAAATATTGGGACTGCTTCTGAGCTTTGAATGTCTTCTTTGAGAACTTTGAAGAGCATGTGATTTGAAAGCAGCGCATGGAGAGGCACATCTGTACACTCCGGGCGAGACACGGCACTATTCACAGACATGCTATGGGGTTTCAACTCGAACCCTGACCACAGCTGGTTCCAGAACCCATGCCCTCCAGCTGTTTGGCCTTTGCTGCATAGCTTAAGTACACGTTCTTGTTCCTTCAGCTGCACAGACTGTGTTAAGGGGTCTAGGCTGGCGAGGCTGGGTGCAGGTGGGGACTTGGTTACACAGGCCTCATGGGACAGTCAGGGGAGTCCAGGACTCATGTGCCTTGAGAGGAGCACTTGAAAAGCCACCGTAATGTAAGTTAGCACTAGAAACAAGCCCCAGGATTGAGAATCAGGCTGAGAGCCCTGCCCATGAGTAAGAACAGTGCCTTGGACAGGCCCTGAAGGAGCCGGGTGCACCTGGATTCTGTTAGCAGTCAAGACACATGAGTGTTAATGACAAGCAAGTGGTGGTGACATCCTCACGGGGACCAAACTGAGACACCAAGGGGCTCTGGTGGCCGCAGAGCAGGAGACCTGCTACTGAGCTCACCTTCAACAGTTCACGGTCACGCTCACTTTCAAAAGTGTGGCTGGAGACCACGGCATGTCAGAAAATCTGCATCGCCCTTGGCCCTAGAGCCGTGAAGAGGCCTCTGCCCCACGCTTCGGTCCAAAGCCGCTTGAGTTCTGCAAGGCTTTGAGAACAAACACAACTCACAGGCTGCAAGGGCGCTCAAACACCAGGGCTTGTTTTGAGTGTTCCCACCCCACCCCTCTCCAAACTTGCCCAGCCATCCAACAGAGTCACGCAAATGCCAAACATCTGTAGGGTGACAACCACCTGCCACGAATGCTAGACAAACCTGAACCCCACAGGCTAATGCATCACCCACCCCAGATGTTGCTCTTGGAAACTGGACTACCTGCATCGTTTTAACTTCTGATACATTTTCTTTCTTTCTTTTTTTTTATTCACAGAACATTGTTTTCTTAAAAGTCATGAAACACAATTTATATTTAAATTAATGGAATCACAAAATAATAAAGCTTTGACTCATGAACATTCATTAATCCCTCCCCCCTCCCCCAATAAAACTACTTAAGACAAAGGGGAAAGTTGCCCGGAGGTGGAGGGGTTTGCTCTGCAGACCTCCTTCACCTCAATCGGACCATTGTTTCACAGCGGCAAGACATCAGCAGCCTTGGGAACCCAGCAGAGAGCAAGCACAAATCAGGACTGAAAACAGAAGCACTGTGCAGAGGCAGAATCAGCCGAAGCCCCAGGCAGAGGGCATATACATACACCTAAGGACCAGGACTCTCAATGCCACATCCAGGGTGCCCCCAAATCCAGGATGCAGAAGGCCCTTGCATCCCTGAGCGACACCCCAATACTGTCCCTTGTGAGGAGGACAACAGGAGCAAAACATGTAGAAACAGGCTAAGCGGTGACCAAGCCCACTCCCCTGGGCCCTCAGCATTGTCCGACCAGGGCCAGGATCTCAGACACAGGGACACGTGCCCAGTTCACTTGCCCACCTCTCCTTCCTTCCTGCGGATAACCCCACAGCTCCTCTAGTCCTCGGAGCTCACCTTGCCAGAGCCCCGCTTGGGCGCACCCCTGTCACCGCTAAAGAAGCGCCCGATGGAATCAAGGATGCCCGTGTCTCTGTGCCTTGGGAGGAAGCCATGCCTGGCATGGTCCATGGTACTTGCTGTGGCCAGGTACTTGGATCGCTGTGAGGGTCTCTTCTGTGATGCCATCACATCCAGGCCTTCGGAAGCTGCTGTGGGGTCTTCTTGGATGGTCTGGAGCTCGTCGGACTCTGAGGGCCTGTCTTTGAAGGTGTTGTCCTCCCTTCCTGGGGCATCTCGGGAAAAGAGGCGGACCAAGTGGGGGCGGCTCCCTGGGTCAGCTGGGTGGGCACCCTGCCAGTTATTCTTCGGGTCTGCTGTGTGCTCGGAGTCTGTCACCGCCGTGTCCTCGGCCGAGATCCCATTGTTCTGGATCGCATCTGCCTCCCCTGTAACAACAACGAGATATGAATGTGGGCCTGTGCGAGGCCTACAAAGGACAAAGCTGCTTTCTTCCCGGGGTCTTGAGCTAGCTGTCTCCTATAAAACCCAGATAAGTGCAGGACCCAAGGGGCTCCACAGCACCTCACATTGCCTCAGCGGCACGGAGCTAACCTGGATTAAGCTTTCTTGGTATAGGAGGCTCAGGGGCCATCTCCATGACCTCACCAAAAGAAACCCCCCTTGTGTGTGGGGGGGAATGGCCTGAGTACCCATAACAATCATGCCAAAACATCTCCTGAGGAGTTACTCACTGCACCAGAGAGAGCTCCATGATGTAGGTATCTTGTGTCTACTGTCGAAGAGGCCGCCAGTGTGTGACCCCAAATGTTGAAGTCATTGTTTGACAAAAGGTGCCTCCCGTGTCCTCAGTGGAGAACAGAACTCCTCACATCTTTCCACAGCTCTGGGGACGGCAGGGCACTGGAGCACTCCTCTCTCCCAGATTCCACAGGAGGCCTCTGGCCCCGGGAACTGCTTCCTCAGGGAAATAAGTCCATTTTTCTCCCAAGTTACAGTGTTAGGTTTAAATGACTGATGCCTAACTTCCTTTCCCAAGTCTAATGCCTGCTTGTATGAATTTGGCTTAGTCACACTGTCCTGGAGTAACACCCATCCATCTACTCACCACCCATCCTTTATTGAACCTCACTCCCGTCTGTCCATCATCCATCCACCTTATCCAGAGTTCAGAATGTAGAGACCCTCACAACAGTGATGGTGCCTAGGCCAGGCTGAGGGGACAGGCAGTGCCAAGGACTTGCCAGGTTTCTACTCCAGGGAGGTAGAGAGAAGGGAGAGGCCAAGAGGGATGAAACACCACAGTTGTGGGCGGGGGCACTGTTTCCCTGAAGGTGTTTTCTGGTAGGTGTGTCAGGGTATCATGAGCACCAAGTTTCCATGGCTCATCAGAACCACCCGCAGGACCTGGACAGTTCCATTGGCAGCCCTGGTACATCACAGAGAGGATGGAACCCAGCCCATCAAGAAGTTGGTGTAACCCCAGGGGGTCACATCCCATCCTACAGCAAACTCACAGTCACCCATGTGCAATGCCATTTGCTTTGGTGGTATTGGGGGGGTTGTCCCTGAGACTCCCTGTCTGCTGAGGATGGAGATTCCAGATTCCCAGAAAGGAGGGTGTTCACCCCAGCCACACCGTGTGTGCACACAGTCAGCTTTGGAGCACCAACTACCATTCTGAAAGAGGGGATGCTGCGTATGAGCACTCCTGAGGTGCCATCTCTCAGTCCACCCCACAGGGCCCAGCTGGCCAGCAGAACATCCAGAGACAGATGACTTCAGGCCTGCTGAAGGACCAACCCATGATACACAACTTCTGTAATCTGGATAGTAGTAAACATACTAGTTAGAAAAAGATCAATAAGGCTTCACACTGAACAGTCCCTGTGAGGGTCTTTGTTTGCATTGAGATGTGACGGCTAATAATCATTATCAAACTTGACAGAATCACCAGGAGACAACTAGAATCACCTAGGAGACAATTAGAATCACCCAGGAGACAATTAGAATCACCTAGGAGACAATTAGAATCACCCAGGAGACAATTAGAATCACCTAGGAGACAATTAGATTAACCTAGGAGACAACTAGAATCACCCAGGAGAAGAGCCTCTGAGCATGTGTAGATGAGAGCTTCTAGATTAGGTTAATTGCAATGGGAAGACTCACTCTGGATATGGGTGACGTCATTCCACCAGTGAGGGGCCTGGAATGAGCACATGGGAGAAAGCAAGCCCAGCAGCTGAATTTGTCTTTCTCTGCTTCCCACCGACTCACACTCTTACTGCCTACTATGATGGGGTGTGGGGTCGGAATAAACCCTCTCTTCCTTAAGCTGCCTTGCTCAGGTACTTTGTCATGGAAACAAGAAAACCAACCGCTGCAGAAGGCAATCTGGAACACACTGGATTTTTAATGAATCGTGGAAGACTTGCACTTCCTAAGAATAATACTCTCTGCATTCACAGTCGTTAGAATCTGGGTGCTGGTACCCAAGGCAAGTCTGTAGAAGGTTCTCCTGGGTGGGCTCTCCCTATTTCTCAGGAGTCACACTTGTTAAAGTCTGGGTGGGTAACAGACAGTCTTGGGCGAGGGCTCTCCTGGGTGGGCTCTCCCATTTGGTCTGAGCAGCTGTTCTCTGGGACCAGCACAGCTGACGTATGATCCACACCAGTCACATACAGACTTGGTGAGGGTTGAACTCATGCGCACATGCACACACGAACACACACTCACAGAGGTGGACAGAATGCCATTTCCAGGCCTCCTGCTCCCCCATCTGTGCTCTGTGTAAAGTGCTCACACAGGGGGAGCTCCCATACACTCCCGGAGCTGCTCGCACTGTGCTGGTCTCCTGGTTCCAATGTCCCAGATAATGGAGAGGAAAAAAAAAAAAGGAACATATCTAAAATGTCTTCCAAACATCAGAAGACTTCTGACTCCAGTGTGGCTGTCTTATGTCTTAGTGTGTCCCTGTCCCAAGGTTTCTAGGGTGAATTGAAGTGACCAGGTGTTCCGCAGCTGCCTGAGCTCAGGAAGGCTCCTCTGATCAGACATGGGCTGCGGCCACACAGATGACCGGTCAGTGGGTTCTGGGACAGCTGATAGGAGGCCTGAGGCAGGTGGTGTCCTTGGTTGCATATATTAACAGAAGTATGCATGAATACAACACCCATATGCCAAAGACTTCCACACTCATAAAATCACGTGGGTCTAGAAACTGACCCACAAATAGCATGGATTACTGTCGCAGAGGTGCTAACTGGGACCTTATTCCAGAGCAGAACCATAAGCTCATCTTGCAGTTGAAACATTTGCTGGTGACGAAGGGCCAGGCAAACTCTGGGAACCAGGATGGCTGCGGTCTAATCCAGGTCTCCATTGGATGACACACGCTGTCATGATGGGTGCTGTGGAAACCGGCCGCTCAGTTTAGGGTGACTGAGAAGAGGGCAAGACCAAGTGGGTGGAGATGCCCGCTGGGACCATTCTTCCATCATCACTGGCTGGTCATGAATAACAAGGAGTGTGGTTCTTTCTAACAGTGCTCAAGCTCGGTTGGTCACCGTGCAGTGTTGGAAAGGTGCACACAGCGGAAAGGTACACGCAGCATTTTGGGAGTGCTTTGGAGAGGTGGAGTTTCAGGGTTGCGGCGCTGACTTCCAGGTGGAGGGGGCGGCAGGAGCACCTAGGAGCCTGGTCCTGGAGTTGTGCTATAAATTCTGTAGCTGACAGTCGTGAACGCAGAAGAGAGGGAAGACAACAGCTATACTGTGAGGCGCTGAACGCATTAACAAAACACAAGAGCATCTGAATACTAATATTTTTATAACAGTCGGGCTTTGTGTCCTTGAACAGTTATTTGTGAGACGCAGAAAGGCCTCTGTGTCCCCGGAGTGGCTCCTCCCTTCCTGAAAGAAGCGTGGTAGGGAGTCTAAACCTGCGGCACACAGCCCTGTGGGTGGGACGAGCCCAGCTCAGCCCGCTCAGGAACATTACCTCGGTCAATTAAAGCCAGAAAGGCTTTGCATTCAGATTCCATTGACAGAACGGATGTGTGTCATACTTAGTGACATGCCCAGATCTCGTCTTACCAAAATGGGCATGGAGAGTGTTTCTAAAGACTCTCCAGTCTTCCGGCTATAAGAAACCCTGGAAAGCTTGGGTGGGAAGACAGCCTGGCTTTCAGAGGTGAAGGAGAAAGACACTTCTGAGCAGTCCCGGGGTGTCAGGGAATTTTAAGTGGCTTTTAGAGCACAGAAACTCCCGGGGCCCTGACATTTGGGGTGACATTTACTATTTAAAGATCTCTGAGGTCATGCCTCCAGGAGGCTCATCTTCTGCTGATCTGGCCAGCCAAAGGTCACAGTGGCCCATGTTCTACATGAACTTGGCTTTCTGTCCAACTATGCCCTCCTTCACAGCTTTCTTGTGCCCTTAGATTCTTCCTTCAGAATCTTTTCCGTGTGACTACAGCCAGCGAGCTCCTCCTCCTCCCCCTCCTCCTCTCCTTCTTCCTCCCCTCCCCCTCCCCCTCTTCCTCCTTCTCTCCCTCTTCCTCCCCCTCCTCCTCTCCATCCTCCTCTCCCTCCTCCTCTCCTCTTCCTCCCCCTCCTCCTCCCTCTCCTCCTCTCCCCCTCCTCTTCCTCCTTCTCTCCTTCTTCCTCCCCCTCCTCCTCTCCCTCCTCCTCTGCCTCCTCATCTTCCTCTTCTTTCTTCTCCCCCTTTTCTTCCCTCCCTGCTCTTTTCTTCTCCTCCCTCTTCTCCCTCCCCTCCTCTCCCTTCTTCTCTTCTTCCCTGACCACCTCCTCCTCTTCATCCCGGCCCCCCACCCCGGGTTGGGGTTTTGCCATATTGCTGTTGTTAACTCTGTATCCTTCAGGTTCCTGTCACAGGCGCCCATCACACACTTAATGTTGAGTGATCCACTAGACCGCTAGCTCACGTAGCCTTTCAACCCCGCGGTACCCTCCACACAGAGGACAGCCTCCTCTACTTGCTTTTCCTCTTGTTCCCCGACGGCACCACGGAAGCCACATGTGAGTGCCGGCTCAGAATCCTTGCAGCCAAGCCCTGTGTGCTCGGCCTCCCCTTCACACCTTCAAAGTGGCCATGCTTGTCTGGCTGCGACTCCTCTTGGTGGTCAGCGAGCACTCCAGGGCCTGCCTTTTCCCTTACTCGGCTTCATGCTGTTTCTCTGTTTTTATTGCTATTATTCCTATATCCTTTATTGTAATAATAAAAAAAAACTTTGTGGAAGTGTTCACATGTGTGCGCATGGGTGTTTGCCTGCTAAAGCATGTGTGTGTGGGCATGGGTGCATGTGTGCTGCAACATGTGTGTGGGCATGGGTGCATGTGTGCCAGAGCATGTGTGTGGGCATGGGTGCATGTGTGCCAGAGCATGTGTGTGGGCATGGGTGCAT